AGTGGAACCACTGAGCTAAATTCCGGGCTGGCTACCTTTATTTTGTCACCTTTGACCACCAGGTCTTGGGGATTTGTTGACCAGGACCTAATTGTGGACTGTAATAGGTGGTTGGCAGCAGTGTTTACATGAGCAGTTTATAATCTGTCTAAATGTGAGCAAGAAAATGATAGAATACAAAGGTCTCTGTAGGTCAGTGGAGTAGTAGTGAAGAATGCTGAGGGAGGCAGGGCAGGAACGATAGCTTGCTAGCTTAAAATACAGTTGTATTCTTCCCTAAAGTCTGCTTTATGCAAATATGTTACAGACCTTTTGTAAAAAATCCGTTTCTGTAGCCTTCAAAGTCAATATTTAATAATGTGGATGATCTTTGTTTAGATTTTATTAGGAACAGTATCCATTTATGTATATGTAGTGACATTCTGCCCACATTTCATTTAGTTCTTAACCCTCTAAGTCTTCTGTTTCCATTTTTCAGATGGGAAGACAGGTTTGAGATAAGATTAAAGAGCTGCCCAAGTGTATATAGCTCTTACATGGCAAAGTTAGGATTCTAGTCCTTGTCAGCTTGAGCCCAGACTCTGTTTCACCTCTCCAAGACGTAAGCCCTTTTCCTGCTAGAAACCATGTTTCCTTCTCATATTAGATCCTCTCAGGTGTGTCATGAGCAGCCTCTAGTTTCTGGTCTGTCTGTAGTCGTCCTGTGAAATGAGAGTTGCTATTTTGTAAGTTTCCTTTTGAATCATGAGAAGTCACCAAAACAATCTGCTTGTTTTCTAGCTCACTCAGTTTTGGCATTTCTACAGTTTCATCCTTGGTTTCCTTGGAAATTTGGTTTGTTTTTCTTCATTTCTCTCTTTGGAGGCTTCTTTGGTGATTCATTTAGACCTTTTTGTTCTGTCTACTGAGATTTTTTTTGGGTCTTGAAATACACTTGAGGATCTTGATACTTTTTTTTCCCCTTGAATATTTTAAAGATTTAGGGTCAGCAGCTATCTGATGCCATTTTGCATCAGGTATACTGTGAATAGTGTCTTTCTTTCTTTTTCTTTTTTGGTACCAGGTACAGAAATCAGGACCTTGAGCTTTCGAGGCAGGTGGCAGAACCACTGAGCTAAATCCCTGGCCCACTGTGAATAGTTTGTTCTTTTTTTGGGGGGGTGGTTGAGACAGGGTCTCACTATGTAGTGAGACTGACCTGGAACTCACTATGTAGCCCAGGCTCATCTCGAACTCACAGCGATCCTCCTGCCTCAGCCTCCCAAGTGCTGGGATTACAGGTGTGCACCACCATGCCCAGCTTATAGTTTCTACTTATCCCTTACGATTCACCACACTGGAAAAATGACCACCCCTGCTTATGCCATCTTATTCACACAGGGTCTTTAGAACCCTCCCTGTCACTGGGGTCCTGCTTCCTGTGCCAGTAGAATCTATACTCAAGATTTTAAGTGTCCTGCCTAAGCTAATTCGGGTCACAGTCTCTCCCTACATCTGTGGCATGCTGTTCTGCCTCATCAATATCTCTGGCTACTGTTAAGGATGGCTTTGTGTTCACCTCTCCAGGGTAAAGGCCAGCAGTCTCAATTTTATTATATACATTTTCACTCCCGTGTGCTCGGATCTCATGAAAGACAAAGGGGAGCCTGGCATCATCCAGATAGGATGCATCATCTAAAGTCCGGTCACCAGATGTGAGATGTAGAATCTGCTTCTCTCATCCTTAAACAGTTATGCAGTTGTAGGTAGTGACAGTCTGTAGAACCCCTGATAGCCTCATCAATGAAGATTTCCACCTGAACATAGTTCCTTCCTCATCTTGATCCTCCTTGCTGCCCCTTAATCCCTGGAGGAGGAATATATTTTCAGACACCTGTAAAAGTCTTGCCCTGAGCTCCTTTAGCTTCTAGGCCATACGTGAGTTCTTGCTTGATAGTCCAGACATACACTGGTCAGAAGAGTTCTCACGCCAACAAGCTGTAATGTTAAGAGTGACCCGATAGCTGATGACCTCCAGTGAGTCTCCTCCATAACCTATTAAAGCTTCTTTACAAATGACCATGAAAACTGCTCCTGATTCTTGCAGAGCCTTCTCTGCTGGGGTGAAGCAGCTCTTTTTCTCCAAATCAAGGGCCCTATCCCCAGCAGACTATGCTGTAAGTAGAACCTTTGAAGTACAGAGGCCTGGGCTCCTGCTTTCTCACTAGTTATCTGAGCTACACTGGTTAAATCATCTCTGTGCCTGTTTCCATCTCTGTCAAATGAGTTTAACAATGGCGCTCTTGGGAAGATATAATGAGATAATATGTATAATGGGCCCAGCATATGTTAAGTGCTTAAGGTTGATGCGCTCCCCTTTTCTTTTGTCTGAACTGGAACAGAAGCCTTGGGAAAGAAGGGAGGTGCTGCAAAATGACCCCAGGCTCCAAAGGATATCAACCTCTCCAGTTCTGCCCTTCTCAATGATTGGCATTCCCCTACACCCCAAAACTTCTTCCCAATCCCACTGTTGTTTACTAAGGAGAGAAAGGGGCAGATTCCCTTTAAGTCCTTTGCTTGTGTGTACACAGAACCTTAGCGAACTATACCATGCAGGCCAAGTGGGGTTTTTCCCGACCCGCAAGTCTTCCTGGGATTGGCTGGAAAGTGCATGCTCAGAAGGCCCAGGGGTCTTGCGTTGCCCGGATGGAGCTTCTGTTTTTCCAAGGGACTGGGGGAACACAGCTGGGAGGTGAGGGACAGGGAGCCTGCAGGGATATTTTCTTCCATCAGTAGCTGTCATCTTTGTTTTCCAGAAGAGAGGACCTGCCTTCATAATTAGCATTTCTTCCCCTTTCTGGATGCCTTTGAGTACCACAGAAAGGGAAGAGAAAGGATACTCATTAAACATTTCCTGCCATGGGGACTTTGAAAGGGGAGTGGATCATAAGGAAAAACGGTGTCTACTTACTAGAGGAAATTCTGGGTTGGTGTTTTCTTTGTCTGAAATTTAACAAACAGAGACAAGAAGGAGCTGGGCGCAGTCCATGTGTGTAATCCCAGCTTGGGGAGGTTGAGGCAGAAGCATCAACAGTACTAGTCCACCCTGGGCAGTTTAGCGATTTAAAGAGGTCTTGAATATAAAAATTTTTAAAAGGGTTGGGAAATAGCTCAGGCTAAAGGCCCTGGGTTCAATCCCTACTATGGCAAAAACAAGTAAACAAAAATATAGTTATATCTTGGTACTGCTTTGAAATTTGTTGAATTTGGTATTTGATATATATTGACTTGAAAATTTTGTCCCAATCTTTATGGTTTTTTTGGTACTCCACATGAAAGCTAGAACTTGTTGGAATCAATTTCCTTGTAACTTGTTACCCTTTGCTGCCAAAGTAATTGATTCATGGTGGAATGCTAAGATTAAAGGTACTATGATTAATAGTGTGAGTCCTATGGTAGGTGGCCTGGCTAAGATATAAGGGACAGAAAGAGACCTGATGCTAGTTACTTATAGTTTGCTGGTTGCTTGCTTGCTTTTGCTGTCTTTTGCCTACCATGAACTATTTCTCTTCTGCGATGCCCCTCTGCCTTGCTACCAGCCAACTATGAACTGAAACCTTTACAAAGTGTGAGCTAAATAAACCTTTCCCATTTAACTTTAGCTGTTGGGTATTTTGTCTCAGCAGTAAGAGAAAAGTAACCAAGACAGGGACGCAGCTGAGTGTGAAGGCTCTGGGTTCAATCCCAAGTACTGAAAAATAAATAAATAAAAGTCTCTTTTTTTGGTGGTGGTAGTACTGGGTTTGAGCCTAACGCCTTACACATACATACAAGGCAAATATGTTGAGCTATAACCTCCAGCCTTTTTAAAAATTTTATTTATTTTAAATTTCCCAGGCTGGTCTTGAACTTGTGATCTTTTTTGCTTCAGGCTCTTAGGTAACTGGGATTACAAATGTACACCACCATCCGAGGCTCCACCTTATTTTTTATACTGAAAAACCAAGCGTAGCACTAATGGGACTTTTACATTCTCTTAAGCATTGTTTCATTCTACATCCAAGGTGTTTGATTCATAGGTTCTTAAAAATTCCACAACATGAAATGAATTTGCTTTGGATGAAAGAGATGGAGGGGCTGACATGAGAAGAGGTGAGATCAGGTAAATAATGAGGTTGGAGGGGGATCACAGCCAACAGGGGTAAAGAAGCCAGTTACTGTGATTCTGATTGGCATGAGTCACACTGCAGTTCTGAAGCTGAATGCAGAAGTCCTCTGTTTTATTGTCTCTATCACCAATAAACTTTTCCTATTTTAAAGTCACAATCTATAGCTGCACATCTTTTTACAGTGCTTACATCTAGCACCAGATGGAGGCCTGTGGAGAAAAGAAGCCTCCCCAAACCATAGTTTCTTTCGAAGGGAGGAAAAGCCACAGCATACATCCGGGGTGTCTTCCCAGGCACAGGCCACAGAGCTTATCTTCCCTTCCCTGCGGGCCAGGGAGGGGCAGGGAGGGAGGCTGCCTGGGCAAGCTTTGGCTCCTCAGACTATTGCTTCTCTCCTTTTAAGGACATTTATTTTGTTTTTGTTCTGACCTGTAAATAATATTTTCCATGGAGGACGGGACAATCGGAGGAAGCGCAGTGGGGGGAGGCACATTATCCTGCCTTCTGTACAGCTTTGTAAGGGGAGAGGAGAAGGGGAAAACAGACTTGGAAAGCTTACCATGTGCATCCTTGAGCTGGTGTTATATTTCGCTTTAATGAATATTACACTCCCACACACAGTACTACATTATAACTGAAAGTGAGATCAAGATTAAAAAAATTTAGCAGCAGCTAGATGTGGTGGCACACACCTATAATCCCAGACTTAGGAGGCTGAGGCAAGGAGATTGCTATGAGTTTGAGGCCAGCCTGAGCTACATAATGAGATTCTCAAAAAACCAAAAAATCCCCAATCAAACCAAATAAAAAAACAAGAAAATGAAGATGTATGAATTTTCTCTATATTCTGTGGTAAAATAAAGACAATAAAACAATTACTTAGAGAATTACACCATGAAACTTCCTCTTCTAGGTTCCAGGTGCCCCTAGAACCAAAGTTTACAGTGTAGATAGGGCCAAGTGCAAGAACCACACCTCACACAACCAGTCTTGAAAGTGGTATAGAGATGGCATCAAAGAATCCTGATCACAGAGGCTGGGGGTGTAGCTCAGGGACAGAGTAATTGCCTAGGCGTGCCTAAGGCCCTGGGTTTGATCTTCAGCCCTGCAAAGAAAAAAAGACAAATAAAGAAATAAAGAAACGAAAGAAATACAGAAAAAAGAAAGAAAGAAGGGGGAAAATTAAAAAAAGAACACTTCATCATAAAGACAGAGCCGAAGTTCTGAGGAACATGTGTTTTACCAAGTAGCACACCAACAAGGGCCTGTGGAAGATGGTGGCCAACAGTGAGAGTGCAGGTACGGAGACCGGGAAGGCCCCTGAAAAGTCCCAAAGGGTGTTGGCCACAAGCGCAACCCTTGCCTACATCGCTCAGCCCAAGCTCAGGAAGTGCACCGTGCTCCAGCCCTCAGGTTCTGCCAAGGCTCGAACCAAGGCCCTGGCTCTGGCTGTAGCTCCAGCCGCAGCTTCAATTTTGCTTCCGGCCCATGAAGGCTCCATAGTCGAGATCTCTCCCTTGATCCCTCTCTCCTTCCCTTCTTTCTCTCTTTTGCTTCCTTTCTGTTCCTTCTTTCCATTCCATCCTTCCTTCCCTCCCTCCTTTCTCTTTCTTTTTTTCTTTCTTATGATGCTGATAGAAGTTTCTTCTTAAATTGCCTGGAGTGAAAAATTAAAAGACAGTAAATTCTTGAACTGAAAGAATTAAGAGATTAAATCTTGGCCTCCAAGATATGGATTTCCTGGGTAGGAAAATTCAGAACAGAAACATTGGGAACACCAATGTTATCACATATGGGCCCTTGTTCTCAACACCCCCTGTTCACGCAGTTCCTACTCACAAGATGTACTGCACTCTCCCTACTTTTTTATTGGAAGTTTTACATGTCTGGGCTCAGCTGAGAATACCTCTCTAGTAGCATAAATAAGATGAAAAGGAAAAACATACAGCTCAGTGACATAGCCTAGAAGTGTGAAAATGATAAAGGTAATCTTTCAACATGGTCAGACCTAACAGAAATACAGTATGTGCCCAATAAACATATAGGAAAAACGTTCCACTGACTATATAATAAAAAAAAGGCAAAGCCAGGCATGGTGGTGCATGCTTATAATCCTAGCACTCGGGAGGCTGAGATAGGAGGATCACTATGAGTTTGAAACCAGCCTGGGCTGCATTGTGAGTTCCAGGTCAGTCTCAACTACGTAGTGAGACCCTGTCTCAAAAAACAAAAACATAAAAATGGCAAATCAAAATGTCAGTATGGTACTATTTGAATGTTTTTTTTTGGGGGGTGGGATACTGGGGATTGAACTTGGGTCCTTCTGCTTGCAAGGCAGGCCACCAAACCACTGAGCTAAATCCCCGGCCCAGTATGGTACTATTTTTTAACTACAAAAAGACAAAAAAAGGTTTTATCTGGTTAAAATTCAGTGAGAGTCTGCAACCCTGCTAGTATAATTGATAGATGGGAGAGGGTACGTTACCAGAAGAGGAAATGAGACACAGTAGGTAAAAAGAAGAGCCCATTACAAAGGTGTTCTGATTTTGCTCTCTTTTTTTTAATCTGGATACATTTCCAGAAATGGAATTACTGGATGAAAAGTATAGACACGGCCAAGGCTCTTGAGTCAGACTGCCAAAGTTCTTTCCCAAACAGCGATTGGCATTGCAGGAGTGTGCCTGAGCCGGCATGCAAAACATACCTATCTGTGAGCCAAGTGAACAAAGTACAGCGGGGATCCAGATGTTTTCTGAGAAAACTGCAGGGTATGTCAGAATCAGAGCGGGCGAGGAGGATAGTCCTGATTGTGGGTTCAGGTCTTGGCTTGGACACTAAAATGAGCGGAGACACTATTTCCAGCTTTCTGTGCCTTATTGAGTACAACAGATAAACACAGGCTTATGATTAGTCTTATTTTTAAGGTCTCTTATGTTACTACTATTTTTTAGGAGGGTGCTGGGCATTGAACCTGGGACCTCATGCATTCTATTCATTACCATTGAGCTACACCCTCAGCCCATAGCATTATGATTTTACAACTCTTTATTAATAGCTTCTTTGTAGCTTTAGAAGGTTTGGAGTACTTCACAGAGGAATTTGTCTCCAGGACACGTTGCTACCCTGTGGCAGAAGTCCTGATCAGAATGAAGTCCATGGGTAACTAGACTTGTTCCCTGGTACATGTGAGATACCTTTTGGGGACTTACACAAATACCTGGGGATGACTTTGCCTGGTTTATGGGCCTACAGTAGCAGGTGGGGCAAGAGCCAGGGACACATGAGTTATGTCAACACGCTTGAAATCTAACTCACCTTGTCCAATGTACCTTTGTCACCTACTAGTTGCACCACTGACCTCCCAGTTATGGGTTCCAACCTCAGCGTCATTTTAACTCCTTTCCTCTTTTGTTAGTATGGTGACAGCCACCCGCACAGCTTATTAATTAAACAGATGTCCTCGAGTCCTACTCATTCAGCCCACACTGATTTCTTTCTCCTTTCAGCAATTTCTGTTAGTACATTTGTCTTAAACTTAGATTGTACTGTTCATTTGGCATGGGTGTCTGATTTAACTACTGTGTAGCTTCTCCTGGTGAAGAACGCCACCTCATACTCTTTGTACGGTCCCTAGTACCTACTTTACAACCCTGTGTATTACCAATATATCCTGTGTATTCTCAATATGTGTATGTATCTGGATAATATGGGTGGGAATAAAGCAGTAAAGAAAAGCAGGCAATAATTTCTGCCTTTGTGGATCTTACGTTCTAGGGAAGGAAACAAAACAATATTGTTTGTTGGATAATGATAGTTAAGAAAACTCAGGAAAGGAGGATAGAAGGGGTACTGATACTGAGAGGTAGGATGTTGAAATATTGGACAGGGTGTTCATATCTTTGAGTAGAACGTTCAGGAGGTTAAAGTGTTTGCCACATGGCCTCTAGTGGAAGAGAGAATAGGATATGTAAACGTCCCAAGGCAGAGCCACATCTCATGCCATTCAGGAATAAAAAGATTGGCTGAATTTTTACCCTACATTTTAAAATTAATGAGTTCAAGCCCTCAGGAATGCTTCACTGAGACATGGGCCTACCCTGGGCAGCTACTGTCTCATCCCACACAACCCTCAATCTCTTACTGCACTTCCAGGCTGGCTACCCATCTCCTTGGAAACCAGCAGGGCTCGGTTTCCCTCAGAGCTAATCCGCGTTCTTCCGCCATTGCCACAGCACCCCCTAGCGGGAGGGAGTGCCTCCGCGGGGCGGTACCCCACAGTGATTGTTGTCTCAGTGCGCAAAGGGATTTGAAGTTCAGTCTTCCCTTGGCTCTGTCTCTGGCTTCTTCTATAGGTGCCTTCTGGCCTCCACTTTGAAGGGCATCATTTGATGTGCTATTAGTTTATTTCAGTCAGATTTTTTTTCTTCTTCTCTGTGTGTCTTTTACTGTTGTCATTTTCCTACTCAGGTTCACAAATTTGCTGCTTATAATTATTTAAAAAATAAACCCTCTTATAGCTATGGAGTATTTTTGTCTTTCCTTTGATTTTCTCTTGGCATCACGATTGGTCTGCTGTTACCATTTGTACTTAATGTGGCTGGAGTTCTAGCCAATGCAATAAGACTGGAGACAAAAATTACACAGCTACGGAAAGGGAGACAGAATGTTTCTTTATAGATTCTTTGAGTTCAATACCCCTTGAAAGTAAACTGGAAAAATGTGGAAATACTAGCAAATATTTATCAATAACAAACCATAACCCTGGCCTGGTGGCACATGCCTGTAATCCCAGTATTTGGGAGGCTAAGGCAGGAAGATCACCTTGAGTTTGAGGCCAGTCTGGGTTCCACAGTGAATTCAAGGCCAGCTTGAACTTAGTGTGACTCCATCTCAATAAATGAACAAATCAGAACTAAATAAGTGGAAAAAGAATTGCATTTATGATAGCAACATAAAGCTCATAAAATACTGAAGAATAATATTAAATATGAGGGCATACACAGTTCTCATATCCTTCCTCTTGCACCCTCTTTCCTTCCCTCCCTTCTTCTATCCCTCCCTTCCTCCTTAGTACTGGGAATATAACAGTGGACTCACAGGTGCTAGGCAAACACTGTACTACTGAGCTATATCCCCAGCCTTTAATTGAATTTCATATTGACACAGAGTCTTGAAAGTTGCCCAGGCTGGATTTGAACTTGTAGTCCTCCTGCCTCTGCCTCCCAAGTAGCTTGGACCTTAGAAATGTGCCACTGTCCCTCCTGGTCCTTTATATTTGTGGGCTCCACACACCTTGATTTCACTAGTGTAGATTAAAAAATCTTTGAAAAAACTGTGCCAGTACTGAACATATACAGATGTTTTTCTTTTTATTATTCACTCAACAAGATAATGTAACAACTATTTACCTAGCATTTACATTGATTAGGTATGAGAAGTAATTGAGAGATCAGATACCGCAAGATGTGCATAGGCTATATGCAAATATTCTACCATTTTATATAAGGGGCTTGTGTATCCTCAGATTTGGGAACCCTGGAACCGATCACCCATGGAAACTGTTGGACCACTGTGCCCTTTCTCCAGCTCAAGTTTCTGAGTTTGTTGAGGGCACAGGCTCTCTTACTTTGTTGAATCCTACTTTGGAAGTCATAATGTTCTTGGGACTTTTTCAGTACTGGAGGTGAAACCCTGAGCCTTACACAGGCTAGGCAAATGCTCTACCACTGAGCTACATCGCCAGCCCCAGGGAAATTTCTTTTTCTTTTTTCTTTTCATATTGGGATTGGACCTAGGGCTTTTGCCCTGTTACATCGCCAACCATTTTAAATTTTTAAATTTTGAGAAAAGGTCTTGTTATGTTGCTAAGTCGCCTAGGCTGGTCTTGAACTTGTGATCCTCCTGGTTTTGCCTGCCATAGTGCTGGGCTACAGGTGTGCACCACCACCCTGGCTGGGAACTACATTTTTTGTTTGTTTGTTTGTTTGGTACTGGGGATTGAACTCAGGTCTTTGTGCTTCAAGGCAGGCGGCAGAACCACTGAACTAAATCCCCGTCCTGTACTACATTTTTAATTCAGGTCATAAGAAGAGGAATGCTGCTGAGATTGTAACCAGCGAGCAGATAGTTAAAGACACAGTGGCTGGAAACAAGTGAGAAGCCAAGGTTTCCTCTGAAGACAGAGAAGAAGCATATCCATTAAGTATATCCTAACTATTCTTTAGTCAGCAAATATTTATGGATTCTATTCCAGGCACTGTTCTAAACTCTAAAAGCGTAGCAGTGAAAGTGGGGCGTAGTGGCGCACACCTGTAATCCCAGCACTTGGAAGGCTGAGGCAGGAGGATTGCCAGAAGTTCAAAGCCAGCCTGGACCATGCAGCAAGGTCTTGTCTTCAAAAATAAAATAAATAAAATAAAATATAAAAAAGGGCTGGGGATGTAGCTCAGTGTGAAGGCCTTGGGTTCAATCCCTAGTACTGGAAACAACAATAACAACAACAACAACAAAGCACAAAACACCAATACAGACAAAATTACTTGCCCTCACTGATATTCTAATATGCATTAGAAAAAAAGTGATGAACTAAACACATAAGCAGAATGCATAGTATTCCAGATGGTGAAATACCCTATGGAGAAAAGTAGAAGAGGGCGAGAAAAGAGACTAGGGAAATTATGGGGTAGATGATGATTTCAAATAATGTTTTTTATGACACTTCTGTGTGCTATTGTAGCCATCTTGCCTGTCTGAGTTCATGCCTTTATCTTTCTCCTTCCAGATTTCAGGGTTTTAAAAATAACTGATAAATTTTTTATAGCAGAGAATTTAGAACAAAAAGTATCAGCACTCAATCTTCCTTGTAAGGAAGGATCCTTGAATCCTTCCGGAGACAGTCTGTTCATATTCAAGCAAATATGTGAGGTTTCTCCCTCACCACTGTTAGTAGTATTCTGCTAACAATATTCCTTTAATTTTTTTTTGTTTGTTTTTTGAGACAGGGTCTCACTACATAGTTGAGACTGACCTGGAACTCACTATGTAGCCCAGGCTGGTCTTGAACAACGATCCTCCTGCCTCAGCCTCCTGAGTGCTGAGACTACAGGCGTGTGCCACCACACCTGGCCTCTATTCTGTTTTTGGTTTTGTTTTGTTTTTTAGTTTTCTTTTTGTTTGTTTGTTTGTTTTTGTACAGGATCAAACTCAGGACCTTGCACTTACAAGGCAGACATGGTGCCACTGAGCTAAAACTCCAGCCCACTCTTTGTTTTGTTTTTTTGAGACAGGGTCTAGTTATGTAGTTCAGGCTGGCTTTGAACTCCTACCTTAGCCTCCTGCACTGGGATACCACACATGCACTACCACATCTGGTTTAGTATTCTGAAACTTGTATTTAAAGATATTTCCATATTGGTATATAAAGAAATTCCTCATTGTGTTTTTTGGGGGGATTGATTGAAGTCAGGACCTCACAATGCACTCTGCCTCTGAGCTATATCCCTATCTTGAACCTCCTTATTCTAAATGAATGTTAACCTATTTTAAGAATGTATCATTCTTTATTTAACCACTTCCCTGTGGATATGTTTAGACTGCTTTGAACTGTTTAGGGTTATGAACAATGTTTCACTATACAACTTTGTACTCAGGTAGTTTCACAAACAATAAAGTCTATCTGTAGAATACGTCATTAGAAGCAGCTGCTCAAAGGGTGAATACTTTTTTCCTTAGGAAATATTTGTTCTCCATGGAACTCAGGCCAACTTTCACTCCTCCAACAATGAACAAGCACTTGTTTCCTCACCCCATTCACTAACAAAGTCTTACTCAGTTTTAAAAAATCTTTACCTGTGAGGCAAATGAAAATGGGACACATGCAGCTGCTCATATGCATCAGTGTGCTCAGGCTGCTATAACAAAATGCCATAGAGAAGGTGGCTTAAACAATAGAAATTGATTTTCTTACAGTTCTGGAAGCTGGGAGTTCCAACATCAAATACCCAGTCAATCTAGTTTCTCGTAAGGGTTTTCTTTCCTGTCTTATCTCTGTGTTCTCATATGGCCTTAGTGTGTTAGACACACACACACATGCATGCACATGCACACACGCACACAGAGGGCGGGGGGGGGAGAGAGCTGGTGTCTTTTCTACTTCTCTGGTGTCAATTCTTATAAGAACACTAATCCTATTGGATTGGTCCTCCACCCTTATGATCTTGTTTAACCTTATTTATTTCCAATTAATCACTCCAAATACAGTTAGTTGGGGATTAAGCCTTCTACATACGAATTTATGGGACACACACATTCAGTTGGTAACACCATACTCTACATCAGAGATTTCACACTGTAGAAGAATCATATACATGCAGTAAATGTGTATTCAGTGCGGTAGTGCCCAGTCATTCCAGCACTCTGAGAAGCTGAGGCAGGTGGAGCCTTCTCTGGGCAATACAGTGATTCAGAGGATCCTGTCTCAAAAAAAAAAAAAAAAAAAAGGGCTCGGGATTTGGTTTAGTGCAAAGGTCCTGGGTTCAATCCCCAGTACTGCAAAAGAAAAAAAAAAAAGGTAATAAATAGGAGAGCATTTTTTGGTGGGGTACTGGGGATCAAACTTGTATCCCTGTGCTTGCCAGGCAGGAGACAGAACCACTGAGCTAAATCCCCAGCCCTGGAGAGCATTGTCAAAGAGCGCTCAGAGTTTATTAGGTATTGTTGAATTTATAATGGAAAGAACCCTTGTGAATGTAAGGAACATGGAAACACTGTTTTGGTGTCGATCTTAACTTATTCAACATCAGAGAACTCACAGGAGAGGAGCAGCATGGGAATAGACGAGCTTGGGTAATTTTCCAGGGGGATCATACATTGTTCAACATCAGAGGATTCATTTGGGAGAAGGCCCTGCGAACACTTCAAGGGTAGATGAGTCTTTATAGCTTAGGTGTTATTAAGCACCAGAGATTTCATACTCGGGAAAATCCCTACGAATGCAAGGAGCGTGGGGAAACATTTAGACATCACTGCATCTTACCAGCCTGGAGACTTCATGTAGGAAGAGAATGATTACAGGAAAGCCTTTCTTCACACCCACATCTTACACATCACTAAACCCACTCAGGAGAGAACCCCA